TATAAGGAGTGCTTAGTACGCCTCTGCAGACCTTGATGGCATACTGAGGAGGGTCACTAATTAAGCACTCCTTAGGTTCAGCTGTGTTGAACCAGCGCAGCTCCTAAAACAAGCAGGACACCAGCCTTTGAGGACAGATTTTGGACASCACTGCCTTATGCTGTCAGGAAAATCCCAAACCACCCAAGAAAAATAAATTTTATTTACTAATTTGCTGAGGTCAGTGGTCATCAAATCTGATATTTGAGCTGTAATGACACCATTTGTCCACTAAGTGGCGCTGTTAACCCTTATATAGTTTACAGTCTGTGTAAATACAAGTTTTATTATATGAAGCAGTCGTTTTTTCAATAGTTAATATTATGGCCCTGGATGTGATGCTGAGCCAATAATATATCATAAAACTTGGCTAAAAATGTCTAAAAAAGATGTTGAGCTGGCCAACCGGTACCAGAAACTCCAGGAAAGAAGTTTTATTGTCCTCAGCCAGAGAAGTCGACCTCTAACAGGAATTTATCTTAAAGATGAAACAAAATGAGCCAATCCCAGTCCTGACAGGTGTCTGCAGACAAAACATGCAGTAAAAAAAAAAAAAAGTAAACCGCAGCAAAGCCTCAAAGACAGAATAATGGGAGTTAACAGCCTGTCTGTTAATTATCCCTCCTGCCTGTTTTACAGGCTCGTCTTCCTCTCCCCATAAAGACAAGCTCAAGTCTGAATCGGCCCCCTGACGACAGCTGGATGGATGGATGAAGGTATGAGGGAGACTTACTGAGCACACCTTCACATTTCTCCGTCCTCGGCTCAGGAGGGAAGAAAAAAGATAATAATGTCAGAGAGGAGCAGACAGTTTGGCTGAAAGAGACAGAAAAGTCATTACAGACAAAAACATCATCAACACTGAGGTGGACAGAAACACAGTCTGGATCTGTTTTCTAATTTTCTTCAAGCAAGAAGAAAATGAACTAGATACTGCATCGCTGTAGCATATATGACCCCTGCACATATGCCAAACACCAGTGTACCAGAGCTCAAAACTCACCAGAACAGATTTAATGTTTTGGGTGGAGGGGCTTGTTGGTGGGSCCGATGGATAGCCTTTCACCAGAGCTAAACAACAAAACAAATCTTACACTCCTACGTTGAACAGTTTTTTAGTTATAAGCATTTTTGAATACCCAGACACCCCCTATTTAGATGGAGCCCCATCCTCAAATATGGGGCCTATCGTAAAACCGTTGGCTGACAGTGTAGGTCGGACTCATCTACATTCCTGCCAAATTTCATGCTGATCGGTGCAGCAGTTCCTGTATGTGGTTGACCAAAAACCTCAGAAAAAAAACACGGATTTTGGCTTTTTKGAGGGGATATTTTTCTGCTGTTTGTTCTTGTCAACAGGCAGCAGATGATTAGATTTGGCTTTTTTTGGTGGTTGAAGCCTCATTGGGTCGACAGTCTTCAGGTTGTCTTCCTGCCTTCCTCCACACACAAACAGAGCTGCAGTCATTTCCCATGCAGATCAATAAAGCCAATAATAAGTCCACGCTGCCGGCTGGCAGAGACAAATGCGCCGACAGACGTGTGGTTTCTCCTGCTGCCTGGACGAGAACGGCAGATGACAAATCATCTCTAGTCGAGTGTGTTTATTGGTGTTTGGGTGGTGCAAATCCAGGAAAAGTCAGGATTTCATTGTTTTATGCATTTGTCAGGCTTGAACCTCATGTATGCTGTGCTTTATTCACCCCTCCAAGGTGCATGGGATCACTAGGGCCTAATAAGTATAACTAGATCCTAACATGGAAGTGGTTTTGAAAAAAAAAAGATGTCATCATATGAGGACAATGGGACTGTAAATGTCACACGTGTTGAACTATTTTCTTTTTATTTTGGCAATACAGTAGCCAGCTGTTGACCAGAGCAAGATCAGTGAAGTGCATTATCATCATCACTGGATCCTGAGAAAACTTTGCAGGATCCTGAGAAACTTTTGCAGGATCCTGAGAAACTTTTGCAGGATCTTAAGAAACTTTTGCAGGATCTTAAGAAACTTTTGCAGGATCTTAAGAAACTTTTGCAGGATCTTAAGAAACTTTTGCAGGATCTTGAGAAACTTTTGCAGGATTTTGACAAACTTTTGCAGAATCCTTGGAAACTTTTGCAGGATCCCGAGAAACTTTTGCAGGATCTTAAGAAACTTTTGCAGGATCTTGAGAATCTTTTGCAGGATCCCGAGAAACTTTTGCAGGATCTTAAGAAACTTTTGCAGGATCTTGAGAATCTTTTGCAGGATCCTGAGAAACTTTTGCAGGATCTTAAGAAACTTTTGCAGGATCTTAAGAATATTTTGCAGAATCCTTAGAAACTTTTGCAGGATCCAAAGAAACCTTTGCAGGATCTTAAGAAACTTTTGCAGAATCCTTAGAAACTTTTGCAGGATCTTAAGAAACATTTGCAAGATCCTGAGAAATTTTTGTAGGATCCCGAGAAACTTGAAGGGTCCTAAGAAACCTTTGAAGGATTCCGAAAACAGTTTGTAGGATCTTGCAAAAGTAAGTCAGGATCTATTATCTTTTCTTTTCTCCAATGTCTCCGTATGGGCTCTGTACTTTACAGGCTCTGTAAAAAACAGCTCAAGTCTCACAAGTTTCAGTGATCTGTTTATAACAGAAACAAAAACCATCGGAGTAAAGCCGACAAGATGACTCATTTATATGAATCAGCCCAAAAGTTTGCAGTTGGTACACGATAAACAATCCAGCTATTAAACAGTTGACATTCATTATGCATGGAGGCCTAGATTTCTTTGTGGAGAATCAATAAGTGCATYATGTTTGAATTATTAAAGAGTGACAAGACCTGCCAGCCATCACTGATTGGGTGTTTCCAGCCTTGATGTGGGACTCTAGTAAACACGTCGTCTCCTTCGGCTCGTGAAAAAGCAGCAGGATTTCCACCAACTGGGACAAACGGATGAATTAAACATCAGAAAAACGGACAGACATCAAACAAACCAGGGAGACGTCTCTGCTGAAGACAGGTCCAAACAGGAAGCGTGTTAAAACAAAACAGAAAGAGAATATTTAAAGAGAAAAACATTATTTTTCAAAATAAGACAACATGAAGCTCAGGATTAAATCTAAATTTATAGGGTTTACAGGAAATGATTTTCACACGTCAAAAAATATATTGTAGGAAAATAAGAAGCTATTTTGATTTTTTTAACATAAAAATGATCGAGCTAATTTGCTTTAGTTCCAAAATAATAAAAGAATAAAGTCTCAGGTTTGGCATCCAGCAGTCTCTTTGTGCAGCTCGGAGCGTCCTTCATTCATTCATTCATCATGAAATGTCGGCAGATTTTACAGAAACATGAAAATAAAACAGCTAAAAAACAACTAAACACTCAATAAACCATCCTTCATTTGTTTTGCCAAGAAAAAACTCTCAAATTATTTTCACATAATCATGTCCTTCATCAGAAAAACACAAAACTCTAAAGCACGGGTCTTCAATGGTAGATGCGACCCCTAGTGGTGTCTGGAGGTACTGCAGGGGAAGTTGTGATCTTAGTTTATTCTTTTTTAAAAACATTTTTTGTTAATTAAAAGTTCTGTATTTAAAACACATTAACACGAATCAAACATGTTGCAACTAATTGATAAATGGAGCCATAAAATAATGTATTTTAGACAGAAACGCACACAAACTGTGAGCACACCAGCTGAACTCTGCTTCCTTACAATGCTCTGTCTCTCCATGTTTCAGGGTCCCAGACTGAAAAACGTTGAAGACCCCTACTCTAAACCTTGGTGTTTTTATTTATTTATTTATGTATTTTTTTAATATAACGGATAATAAACATCAACATGTTTCCGATTATTATTGCTTTTTTTACATTTCTGATGCCTGAGCAGAAAAAAACCTCAGATTCAGACCAAAACAACAAGTTAGAAAACGACAAATAGATTGTGACAGAAACAAAATCAATCATTTTGATTATCTTACAAGAAAAACCTAAAATAACAAAAATCAGGACAGTTGTTCCCCTGAACCTACATTAAATACAGACTTATATTTGGTCCAAAAAGTACAAAAGTATTCAGTTTACTGATCTGAATGGTTGATTTAATGTGTGGAGATGGTAAATTGCTTCAGATAATCTTATAGAATGAAATAAAAATTAAACATTCATCACCGTATTTGCCAGTTTTTCTTCTTGTTTGTTCCGTTGATAACGCTCACTTTTGCTTCCAGGTGGTGTGACTTAAAATAACTTATTTTATGTCTTACAACAAATATAAAATCCATGTAAGCTACAGGAATGGGTTGCTCACAACCACAGAAAGTATCTGCAAAATAAAAAAAATAAAAAAAAAACCTCTAGTTCTACATTCCTCACATTCTCAGCYTTTGTCTGGAAACTTTATCACGTTTTTTACGAACACCGAAGCTCTTTGTTGAAAACTTTTTAAAATGCTAGCTTAAAACAGACAAATAAATCTAAAGAAGTGATGTTTCAGGCTCGCGTAAAAAAAAAAGACAAAACAGCAGCTTTCTGCTTTTTTAGCTTTAAATAAAGGTTTAATAACTTCTCTAAAATGTGGGCTCAGATTTAACTACAGCTGGTAAAGAAAAGCAGAAATAAATCGTTTGAACTTTGGTTTTCACCTTTTTCAACTCTGTTTTGCTTCTTTTTATCCATCCAAAAAAGAAGAAGAAGAAGAAGTGACAAAACAATCTGTCTGACTGAGCTGTTAATTTCTGTCTTTGGTTCGTCACTTTAGGATGTGCTGGAATAAAACCACTCCTCTTTCATCTCTTTCTGTTGACAGCTCATTATTTCTCCTCTCTGGCTAAAAATAACAAAACAAAAATAAAATAAAAACCTTCCCTGGTTCCTGACGATCCACACATCTGACTCAAGCAGGAAATTTACACCTTTAACTTTGAAGATTTCGGTCTCTTTCACTAAAATTATTGCAGAAATTCAATTAAGTTAAGTTTCAGTTAAAATCCTCTTTAAAGACGCTTTCAGCAAATTAAGTTTCAGGAATTTCATCAAAAACTTTCAAAACTTTCTTTTTCTTTTTCCATCAACCTGCTTTACCAAACTTAACACTTATTTTCCACTGAAAACCTGTGAAAAATAGATTTTTAACATGAATTAGTTGCATTTTAGTGTTTTCTTGCAGCAGCTTCTGTATATTTTTGTTGTAACAAAATATTTCTTTAAATGATTAAAACGTATTTGAGTTTTTGTCCAGTTTAGAAAACTTTGTGCAGCTCCTTCAACTGAATTTTAAAACTCATTTAAATGTAATTTAATTACAATAATCACTACATTCATTTTCCCATTATCTAGTTGTCTAAAACAGAAAACAAACCTTTAAATAAAGCACAAGGAGTAGGTGAAATTTTTTTTTAAAAAACTACTGAAAAGTTGTCCATCATTAAAGCCAGCCTTAAAAGGGTGAAGTTAATGACAACATTTAAAATTGTCAAAGAAGCTGATAAATCGTTAAAAAAACAACAAACTTGTTTCCTTTTCCAGAAGATCTTCGGTGTTTCAGCCACGTTACTCAAAGGACAGCAGGTCCGGATGAAGTTCCAAGTCCTCGGTGCTCACTCCAGAGTCCTTACTGCAGGGGGCGCCGTTTCCCAGCAGCACCTCCTCTCCGAGGCTGATGCGGCAGTGAGATTTGTCCGAGCGGGGGGTGGAGGCCAGCCGGAGGTCGGGCGAGGACGCTCTCTGCCACACGTCGCAGGGTTTGGACTTCAACTCCAAGAGAGGGCCTTTGTTGATAAGATCTGGGACAGAGTGCTGAAGCTGGTACTGATGCTTCTCCTCCTTCTCCTCGACTCCATCCACCTCGCTGTCTGAATCAGCTGGAGCTTTCTTCTCCACCTCCTCCTTCTCTTCTTCGCCTCCTCGCCGCTGATCCTCATCACCCCCTGCCTCGTCTTTAGGCGTGGTTTCGGATGATGGGACGAAGGAGTGGGAGTCCGAGGTGTCCGGGGAGGAGACCACGGGGTCGGAGGAGATCATCATGTCCTGGGTCGTCTTCAGAGCTCGAGGGAGGCGCTTCTTGCCCGTCGGTGGCGGTGGGTCGAGCCGAGGGAACGAGTCGAAGGAGGAGATGTGACTGAAAGAGAGAGGGAGGATAAGGAGGGGAATTAGGTACAAAACTGCAACAAATAAATCCAAAACTACAGATAATCACAGCAAATAAATAAACCATGATTGTTTGTCTGTTAGCAAAAATAATAATACATTTTTTGAAGGTGCCTTTCGTGGCACTCAAGTCACCAAACAGTAAAAAAGCAAGGGCGATTTTAGTGTCGAGAAGAATTTGAGGAAGTTGCTGGTGAACAGGACCTGATGTCATAAAGGCAGTCAGAAAGTGAGGTGGGGGTTGGGGTGGGGGACAGATAGAGCTGGGTGTCATCTGCATAACAGAGAATATTTTTTTAAACATATTGCCAAGTGAAAGAAGATATTTGATAAAAAAGAAGAGTACCAAGGACAGAACCTTGTGGGACACCAGAAAGAGATGAGGTGAATGGGAGGGAGAGGAGAGTGAAATGTAAGTAGGGGTGGGGGACAGATAGAACTGGGTGTCATCTGTGTAACAGAGAATATTTTTTCTAAAGATATTACCAAGTGGAAGAAGGTATTTGATAAAGAGGAGAGGGCCAAGGACTGAACTTTGTGGGACACCAGAACAGAGAGGGGATGGATGGGAGGGAGAGGTGAGTGAGGTGGGGGATTGGGGTAGGTGTGGGGGTCGGCAACAGATAGAGCTGGGTGTCATCTGCGCAACGGAGGAAATTTTTTTCTAAAGATATCACCAAGTGGAAGAAGGTGATAAAAGAGAGTGAAATGGGGGATGGGGGTAAGGGTGGTAGACAGATAGAGCTGGTTGTCATCTGCATAACAATGGAAATTATTTTTTTCTAAAGATATTTCCAAGTGGGAGAAGGTATAATAGATGACAAATCAAAAGGACCGAGGACAGAACCTTGTGGGACATCAGAACAGAGAGGGGATGGATGGGAAGAAGAGGATTTTATTTTAACAAGCTGTGTTCAATTAAATATTGTGGTAACCACAGCTAAATTGACCTTAGCCCAGTGGTTTTCAAACATTTTTGCTTCCGGCCCACAAAATAACACTTGTAGACACCCGCGACCCCAGATATTACTTGTTCATGGATGCAAACTTTACTAATAACTTTGTTTATTATGGGACATATAAACAAACCTAATAACTACAATACTAATTGCYTTCATTTATGATAATTGTTTCTAAAAATTGCAATATTATGGTGACAATATTCCATTAGCAATTTTTTGCATTTAAATTGATGTCTGAAAATCATCTGGGGACCATCACTTGACTGTTTTGTGAGCCACAAAGGGGTCCTGACCCAAACTTTGGGAACCACTGCCTTAGCAAACATAAAAATGACAAGACTTAGTCAATAAAGTTTGACGTGGTAGTAGCTGAGAGTTATTCCCTCTGAGTTTTAACGCATTTTATTTCAGAATTGTCTGAAATTCACCTTTCTGTTCAAATAAAACAGCTTCTCTGAGACATTATTACATTATTTTTCTGAATTACAGCCGTTTAAAGTTTTCATGCGACTTCAGTGACGGAAACAACGAGGATGACTCAGACTCCCAACCTGCCTGTGCCTACTAATGAGAACACGTTGAGTGATGGAGGAGTCGGCTGTAGAGAGAGAAAAGAGACCAGTCTTTTTTTTTCTGGTCAACAATCTGACTTTTTTTTTTTTTTTTTTTTACAAAACACATTTTCTACAGCAGCAGAAACTTTTACAGACAAAAAGACCCCCCTGAGAGTGTTACCTTTTCTTACTCTCTCTGTTCACGTAGCGAAGAACATCAAGAACAAATTAAAACCAGGGTAATGGAGGTCTCCAAAAAGAGAGAAAAAGATTTCAGCACATCTCATTTTATTTCTTCCTTGTTTTCAAAGTAGAGAAGGGATTTTAAAATGCACTTTTTTTGGCCCTAGAGAATATGGAATATAATAATAGATAGATAAATCTTTATTGTCATTGTTGCACCGAAAAGAACACTGCGGTCC